AAATCATTCTTGAATTTATGAAGCTTGTATTTCCAAAGTTACCTCTGTGTATATACTTATGTATTTACAGTAATTTGGGGGTGGGGGGGGAAATGACCAATACCATTTTAAAGATTAGTACTTTTGAAAACTTATATGGAATCTTGCATTGCATCTGTGTGCTTAATCCATGACAGCTAAGAATTCAGAAAATGACAAGAAACCTAGCCATTTACATCTGGATTTTGGTGTGCAAATACACAGTATGAAGTCAAATCAAAACCTTCTACAATCACAAGTCTTTATTTAAAAAGGAACTACTTGAAACACAGAAGCCTTTCCACTGATAGAAATGAAGCAGTGGAGATAAAAAGCAAATTTCTTCATTTGTTCTCATCCCTGTAAGCCTGTGGGTTTGATTTTTCTGTTTGGGTTAAGGTTTTGTTGTTTTGTTGGGTTTTTTTGTTGTTTTGGTGCTTTCTGGCAATATGTTACTTTGAGTTATGGAAATCAAAATACCTCTGAAGATAATTTGAAGGAAGCCAGTATTATTGGAAGTTTCTAAATGTAGTAACTCTGAACCTGGAGATGGAAAGTGCCTCACCTCCAGCCCGCACCTGTATTACTTTTACTATTAGCTGGTATTCTGAGGCAAGTTGCTCTTTGATGCTTTTAGAAGCACATAACTTTGTGCTTTCTGCTATGAGTTTTTTAATGGAGAAAACTTCTCTTTCCTGGTCAAGTCTTTAGGCTGTTGTCCTCTCATCACAGAGGTTTTGTAAACTCAAGCTTACAGACACACAAGCTGAGATGCTAGTCAATGACATATCTGCAAGCGAAGAAGATTTTTTTGAAATACAGTAATTACATAAAATAATACATCCAAAAATAAACTTAGCCTCTGCACGGGCTATCTGAATAAATTAAATTGTATGAAACGTGATAAAAGTATTTAAGCTTCTTAGCTATATTAGTGTGAATATTGTCATGTATAGTGTCGAAAAGCATACAAGATTTTTGGTCAGCTGCTGGTGTAGACAAGCTGCCTTTTTGCATTTTGCTACCAATTATATAAGCACTTCTACACCATGGAAGCTCATTATTTTTCATGTAGAATATCCATTTTTTAAATGCTAAAGAAACCCTACAACAGGCAAAAATTTCCATGCCCACAGTTTCTTTGTGTGCATATTCTTAATCTTTTTTCAATAAAGAGGAAAGGACTTATCCAAACATAAAGTGTAAACACAAACACAAATCTTAACGGGGTATCGATCCTGAATCATTAATGTTTGGAGCTCGAAAGGACCTTAAAGATCATGTAGCTGCAACCCCCCTACCACCCGCAGGGACGCCTTCCACTAGACCTGGTTGCTCCAAGCCCCATACAACCTGGCCTTGAACACTGCCAGGGATGGGGCAGCCACAACTTCTTTGGGCAACCTGTGCCAGTACCTCACCCCTCTCACAGGAAAGAATTTTTGGCTAATATCTAATCTAAATCTACCAAATTTGGAATTGAAAAAAGAAAACCTCCAAATCAAAAACCTGTAACATACAAAGCCACCCACATCATCAAAAGCATTTGATGAGTTGGGTTCCTAGCTGTTACTTAAGTCATCTTGGAGGAAATTCTAGAGATGGTGAATTTCCTTTGATCTCCTAGGAGGATGAACTTTCTTATGAGAGCTAAATTACATGAGGGTAAAATGATACTGGCATAGCTGAACAATGCACTGTAAAGAAAAATGCATTCCCTTTCTATATGCAAGATATTTCAACTAGGTAATGGCTTCTAATTTTTAAGGCACTGTGGCATATGAAGATAGTTGCTAACTGCAGGAAGTACAGCTGACTCAGAGGATTTGCTACAAAAAACACACCAGACATCTGTTCAACTCCATGGGAGGCAGAGTAGTGAACACCTGTATTTAAAAGTCTTCAAAAATCCTTGTAACTTAGCAATTTGAAGAGTCCAACTGAATTGTAGCCTTTGCTCTAGGAAAGAGGATAAACACAAGGGGAATGAAGAAGAAATCACTCAGTTTGTATAAAGACAGTCAGAAAACAGCATTTTCAGCCAGTGGTATGCTCTACAACAAGCACCAAAGGCAAAGTTACCCTGGGGGCTGTCTGAGACTAACAAGTGAACTCTTCCAATAGTTTGCACTACAAGAACTGCAAGCTTTTGTTCAAAACATGCCACCACACCTGTCCACCCTGCCACCCAGGCCCTGGGAAACTGTCTACGTGAAACCCTTTTAGCAAGTCTTCCATACACACTTGTTGTAACATGTTTGATGTGTAAACAGTTGGTACCAAAGGGGTTGGGTGCTGCCCACCAAGCAAGATACATAGCATAGCCAAATCTAAGTCAGAGATAGGAATTCAGTTCTGCCTGTCTCTCCTTGTGTCAATGCAAGAGTTGGCATGATATATGAAATTTATATAAGAAACACCAAAGGGAATCCCAACATATGCTTGCTAACTTCATTTTAATCATGAAGAATACACTTCAGGGCAATCCAAGCCTGTAAACAGGTACATTAACCTCTGCACAAGAAAGCTCAAAAACAAAGCCTTGCTTTTCAGAAAAAAAAATCCTAAAAAACATCATTTATATCCTCACCAGGGACAGAAGCATAGAGAGCACAAAAAATGTAACTTACGAGAACCCCAATGTGTACTACATGATAGTCCTGTGTGTTAAAATAATAACCTACATGAAAAAAATTAGCTACATTAAGAAAATATAGACTCCAGTTACTTACTGCATAAAATATTCAACACTTGTACCCATAAAACCATCACTACCATCCTGACCTTCTCATGCCCCCACTTCATAGATGTCCCAGTTCTCTATGAGCACACATCAAATCTAAGAAATTACCAATTCCCACAATGAATTAATTTCTACAATTAATCAGACAGGAAATTTCTTCTAACTAAAAGGAATAAACATTAAAGAAATGTAAGTGCTTGATATTTGTTATTCAAGGGTTTGAAGAATCCTCATTTTACCTAAGCTTTTAGATTGTCTTGCTCACAATAGCACTCCTCTCCCACAAAGTCATACTGCCTGTTCTTCATAGTAGCCTTGCATTACCGGCTTGTTTATAACAATGTAATGGATGTCTAAAAAAACCCAGCCGAAATACAGAGAGCTTACAACATCAGAAATATGAATTCATAGTGGTGAGAAACCATGATATAAAACAAAGAACAATAGTGAATTCTGTTACAGTTCACTCCAAAGGCATGAATTTGACGTTAACTGAAGAAGGTACAGACTGTGACTCTCTTCCCCTGCTGAGGGCTGAGAATGCAGGAGAATGCTTAAGATAACAATCCTTGACAGGACAGCAAAAAACAAAATACTTCATCTCAAAGTTAGAGCTAGGCATATACCTACACATTACATACACACACAGATACTGGGGTTTAGAAAACCTCTAGAATGGTCTTTCAAAGCATCAGCTTCATTCTCCCCAACCCACACATGCATAGAAAGTTGGTGGCGAATCTGCTTCCTCTGTTGACACCTTGAGGCACTCCATCTGATAAAAAGCAGGGGTAAAGACACTCTACGCTGCTGTGGTTGTGTAACATGGCAAAGCTACGTGCGAGAATTACACAACTAACTCATCTCACCCTTCCCTCCTTTGCTGAGGCCACATCTGACAACTGAGCAGTGCCACGGCCCCCTCTGGGGTCCACCACCTCGCACTCCTCACACCAGCAAGCAGACCTGTGAGACAACAGAATGCTGCAGTGCACAGGGAGGGAAGCGATGGATAGAGTCAATGTTTCTGATTTCCAGTAACTGCACTTCAAAGCAAAATAAGTATTTAAAAAATGCAGCTGTACAACTGCATTTACAAATAAACAAACAAACAAAAGGTGACATATGAAGGTCAGCATATGAAGCTGCATAAAAGGAAATGTGCTATCTGTTCCACTCAACTGAAAATATGTTATATAAGCTTTTCAGGTTATAAGGTTACTTAATCATTGCTTTAATGTGTAAGCATGAAAGATTTGGCACAATTTTCAGAACCTGGTATTTTTGTTTAACCTCCAAAGAGCTTCATTTTGAAGGCACTGTGGCATAAAAGCAGCAGAGGAATCCAGTCCTGGCCACACCTTACCACTGCAAAGCCAGCGTTGCAGAACACAGCCAGGTACACGGATAACACTACAGGAGAAACCACGTACAAAAAATCCCCAACGCTCGACCTTTTCTGGAAAACAAAGCATTTGTGTGTTCTTAACTTCACCAGCAGCTTGCTGAGGCCAACACCAGATTTGACACTTCTGAAGTTCCTTCTTGGAGGATACACTACATGCCACGACGTTGGGCGAGATGGCAAATTAATGAGAGAATTACTTGTTGCTCGCCTGTTTGCTTGATCTGCGGCAAGAGCCTGACCGGGGGCAGCCACCCAAGCTGCCTGCCAGGGGCTGACTGGCCCTGTAGCCTATTGTCAGCCCTTCTGCGTGCCCCCCCGCAGCAGTACACCAAGCCTGGCCCGCCGGACAGACAATCAGCCCATCCGGCTACCCGGCAGGAGAGCGCGGGAGCCGCCGCCTCAGCTGGGAAAGCCCGAGCAGCAGCCAAGGAGGGCGGGAGCCCCCCACCACGGTTCCCCCGCTGAGGAGCCCACCTGCCCCCCACAACGATACTCACTCCTGCCTGGGCCGGAACACCCTCACTTCCCTTCACCTCGCTCCTCCTCACGGCCGCAGCACTGGACTGCGCCAAGGCGGTCCCACCAAGCCGCGCACCTGCCGCAGGTGAGGCGGGCGGGGCCGGGCGGGGTCGGGCGGGGCCGAGCAGGCCGCCAACCGCCTGCCTGCCTGCCTGCCCGCCGCTCCGTCCCGTCCCCTCCCGTCCTGTCCTCTCCCGTCCTGTCCTGTCCCCTCCGTCCCGCCCCCTTCCCCCCGTCCCGGTCCCAACCCCACCCGTGCATGCGCGAGTGCTCGGTAGAGTGCCACAGTTCACCCCTTTTAATTTTGACTCAAATCAGGCAAAAAGCGTAGACGGCTGTAACGGCCAGTGCCGTAAAGTGTAGCGCTGGATGCACGACAGTCGGAAAGGTCCCCTTTGCGGGTGGCTGAACGAAGATGGCGGCGGGGGAGGTGAAGTCGGTGCTTTTTGTGTGCCTGGGTGAGCTGGGCGAGGGGACAGGAGAGTCGGGTCTGAGCTCCGCCGCGCTTCTCTTGGCCTCCTTCCGCCGTTCTTCGGTCAGGGGTCCCGGGTGGGGGTGTAGGGAGCGCGGTGAGACGAGGATCGGCGGACTGCGGGTAGGCCCGGCCCGCAGCCCAGGCGTGCAGGACGAGGGTGGCTCTGCGGGTGTCTGCTTTCTTGGGGAGGGTCGGAGCGATAGCCGAGGAGGGGGGCACAGAGCAGTATCCGTCGTTTTCCCGCGCGTCTTTGTGGTATTAAAGCAGCAATCAGTAGGAAATAACGTGGAATTCAGCATTAATAAAAGCGAAGGTTATGTGTGGGGAAAATCAACTTGAGCTCTGAGTTAAATACTGCTGTACGGAGTGTGGTGGGGAGCAGCTTTCTGAAGTAGGCTGCAGGGAGGGAATCCTGCAGCTGTGCCGCATGGACGTATGGTTCTGAGCATCTGGCACTAAAAAGGGAGCTAAAACAGTGACAAGAATGACCAAAGTTAGTGGAGCAGGCTCTGTAAAAAGAGGGTACATATGGTAGGATTTCTATAAGAAAAGGAACTTGGTGGAGGTGGAAGTCATTTTGAGCTATGGAATTCTGGCCATCATGAAAAAAAAAAAAAAAAGGACTTGTTTTGAAGGGCTATGTAAATGAAGAACTAGGATTTTTTTATTTACTTTTTTTAAGATGTTCTGTGTGTTTTAAGTTGTGACTGTCATGTCATAAGAGGTCATGAACCAGAGAAGTACAAATGGGATCAGAAATGTTTTGGATGCTTTCCTGAGGGTTAAGAAAATTGGTTGCTTATAAGCAAGGTTATCTTCATCTTCAAAATCAACAGATTGCAAACCTGACTACCTGGATTACAGAGCCATGCCCCATTTTGTGCATGCTTTCTCTAAACATCTGCTTTGGCTCCCTCCTGGGGATAACAAGCCAGACAGCTCTTTACAGTGATCTAGGAGGGATTTTAACATTATCTGCTTTGTAGTCCTTATAATCTTACCTATGTGCTGAGAGTTGATCCCTATGAATCCCTGGCATTTTGACATTTTTGGTACAACACCATTGGTTAATATGTTTTGTTTTATTTTAGTACCTGCGTTTCTGTTGTAATAGGAGAAGTGCAGATTAATTAAACAGCAAAACAAGAATTTAGTTTTGTGAAATATGTTCTAATGTTTACCTTAGAGAAAAATCAGCCCTTAATAATAATTAAGGGAAAACATTCTTTAGTAAGGGATTGTCAGTTGCTTTATCTTTGGGAGCCAGTGGCCTAGATAAACGTTATTTGCAGAAAAATATGTAATTAATATGCATCCTTCTTTCCAAACACTGTGTTCAAAGGCAGTAATCACCATCCACTTGTGCTGAAAGATGAGCTGGCAAGGAAGAAGCCTGGCTGAGCAGAGCTTTGGCTCACACAGCTTTGGCTGTGTTAGGGAGAGGCTGCTGCCCAAGCATTCACACACCATTCAAGGAGTTGTTCTCACAATACCTGGGACTTTAACTGCTAAGACCAGAGCTCCTTCACAGCAGGCAGCTCCAGTGAACTGAGGAGTGCCCCTTTCCACTCCTCATTCACATACATACTCACTTTTGGGCGTGATTCCTCTTCCTCTGTGCTTGATCCTAGATTTTCTGCACCAGAGTCTCACTCATTTGATTCCAGGAAAAAATAATTTAATAATTGAGTGGTACAGAAAACAAACAAAAAACAAACAAAACCACCACCACCAACACCCCCCTCCCCCCCAAAAAAGAACACAAACCCAACAAAACAAAGCTGGGTACCTCCAGAGATGGACTCTGAACAAAGACATCACTGGCAATTGTACTGTTGAGATTTATGCACCTGTTCCTCATGTGCCTGTTTTTTTATCCTATGGTTATATTTTGGTCTAGCGTCTTATGTTACTGTTGTCTTCATACAGATAGGTCGTTAACTGTTCTTACTTTGTTCAGTTGCTGCTTCTGCTGACAGTGGCAGCATCTTTCTGATTTGTGCTTCTTGTGCACCTGCTTGTTGTCAGAGCACAGGACACTGAAAAAGTCCCAGGCCTGGGATAAATGTTACTTAGCAATAGCTAAAACATCGATATTAACAAGATTCTTCTTACACTAAAGACAAACCACAGCACTGTACCATCTTCTAGGAGAAATTACTAAGAAAGCTAACTCTATTCCAGCTGAAAGCATATCTAGGTGAAAGTCCACAGCTTATGGCCTAAGGCTTCAGCAAATATAGCTGCTCATGGTAAGCAAGTAAAGCTAAGCAAACGGCATTCTAAACCACACAATATAATAACACTGACTCAAACTATTTAAAACTTACTTATTTAAGGTAAATAATTAATATCTCTCAAAAGACTGAACCCAGGACATCAGGAAAAAAAAAAGAGTTTATGACCATTGGAAGAAGGGGCGGGCAACTCAGGGTGGCTACAAGGATATCATAAGGTTCTGCAGGAAGAAAAGTAGAAGGGCCAAAGCCCAGCTAGAACTTAATCATAGAATCATAGAATCTGGCTGCTGCCATGAAAGACAATTAAAATGTTCCTATAAATACATTAGCACCAAAAGGAGAGCTAAGGAAACTGTCCATCCTTTACTAGACATGGCAGGAAACGTAGTAACAAAGGGTGAGTAAGAAGGCTGATGGACTTAATGCCTTCTTTGCCTTGTTCTTTAATAGTATTACTAGTTGTTCTTAGGGTACCCAGCCCCTTCAGCTTGCGGACAGGGAAGGGGAGCAGAATGAAGCCCTCCTAATTCAAGGGGAAATGGTCAGCAACCTGCTACACCACTTAAACACACACAAGTCTGTGGGGCTGGGTAGGGTCCACCCAGGGGTACTGAGGGAGCTGGCAAAAGTGCTCACCAAGCCTCTTTCAATTATTCATTAGCAGTCCTGGCTAACTGGGGAGATCCCAGCTGAGTGGAAGTTAGCAGATATAATGCCCATCTATAGAAGGGCTGGAAGCAGGATCCAGGTAACTACAGACCTGTCAGTCTGACCTTGGTGCCAGAAAAGGCTGTGGAGCAGATCATGTTGAGTTCCATCATGTGACACATACAGGACAAACAGGAGATCATGCCCAGTTGGCCTGTGTTGGTAAAAGGCTTGACTCATTTGATCTCCTTCTGTGACAAGGTGACCTGCTTAGTAGGCGAGGAAAAGGCTGTAGCTGTTGTCTACCTAAACATCAGTAAAGCCTTTGACACTGTTTCCCACAGCATTCTCTTGGAGAAATTGACTGCTCATGGCTTGGACAGATGTACTCTTTGCTGGGTAAAAAACTGGCTGAATGGCTGGGCGCGTAGAGTTATGGTGAATGGAGTTAAATCCAGTTTTCAGCTGATCACAAGTGGGGTTTCTCAGAGCTCAGCATTTGAGACAGTTCTGTTTAATACCTGTGTTAATGATTTGGATGAGGGGATCGAGTGCACCCTCAGTAAGTCTGAAAATGACACCAAGTTGGGTGGGAGTTTAGATCTGCTTGAGGGTAGGAAGGCTCTGCAGAGGGATCTGGACAGGCTGGATTGATGGGCTAAGGCCAGTGTTAGGAGATTCAACAAGGCAAAGTGCTGGGTCTTGCACTTGGGTCACAACAACCTCATACAATGCTGCAGGCTTGGGGAAGAGTGGCTGGAATGGTGGCCTGTGGAAAAGCACCTGAGGATGTTGGTGGACAAACGGCTGAATGTGAGCATGAAGTATGCCCAGGCTGCCAAAAATACCAATGACATCCTGACCTATATCAGAAATAGTATGGCCAGCAGGGCCAGGGTAGTGATCATTGCCATGTACTGTCGCTGGTGAAGCCACACCTTGAATACTGTGTTCAGTTCTGGGCCCCCCACTACAAGAGAGACATTGAGATGCTGGAGCCTGTCCAGAGAAGGGCAATAAAGCTGGTGAAGGGTCTGGATCACAATTCTTGTAAGGAATGGCTGAGGGAACCGGGGTTGTTTGGAGGAGAGGATGAAGGGGGACCTTATTGATCTCTACAGTTACCTGAAAGAAGGATGGAGCAAGGTGGGTGTTGGTTCTCCTCCCAGGTAACAAGCAATACGACAAGAGGAAATGGTTTCAAGCCTCCCTGTGCCAGGGAAGGTTTAGATTGGATATTGGGAAATACTTCCTTACCAGAAGGATTGTCAAGCATTGGAGCAGGCTGCCCAACGAAGCGGTGGAGTTACCATCTCTGGTGGTATTTAAAGGATGTATAGATGTGGCACTTGAGGACATGGTTTAGCAGTGGACTTGGTAGTGCTACGTTTATGGTTGGAGGTGATGATATTAATGGTCTTCCAACCTAAATGATTATAGGGTTCTATGAAACAGTTCGTATGCATGGGTCTGTAAACCCATGATGGTGATTTGCACTGTTACAAATTCCTAATCTAGTTGAGTCTCTGAGAAACTGTTATTAATGGAAGATAATATAATAATCTAGGTATGGGAGTGACATTATTACTATTAAGCTTGAAAAAAGGGTGAAAATGTGAGGACCAATGTTAATTGGGGTGGATTTTTTTTTTAACAATTGTTATAAATACCTTTTAAACTCTTATGTTACTGTGTTAAAATAACCGTGACAGTGTATGATGATAAGCACTTCTTTTTCCAGTGAAATGCATACTTTTTTCAGTTAAGTTTCGAAGGCAACTTTTTCCTGCTTTAAGTTTGCTTTTTTTTGGTTAGTTTTGAAGACTGATACTTATGCCCTAATAGCTTTTTTCCTCCTAAATTTAATTAGAAAGAGTACCTATGGTTGTTGCTGAAACAAGTACTAAACAGATTCCTGGAATTGCATTTGTCTGTAGTATTCTGTGCTGGTTAATAAAGCACATTAATTCTGAAGTTTGCTACATTCAGTGACAGCTGATCCCAAAAACTGCAAGCCTTTATGAAAGATTGTTTTATTCCTACATTATTTTAGAAGAAAGTTATTACTGAGGTATCTATTGACTGTATTGTTTGTAATGAGATAAGTATATATTAATTACATAATAAAATACAGTCTAGTTAATGCACATTACTACATTAATTATAAGGGTTCCTCATCACTGAGAGATAAATGAACATAGGTAATTACAATATATGAGAAGGCACCAGGAAATAATATTTTTCATGTAAGGCAAAGAAAGAATTAAAACTAGAGGTGAACCAAAATGCTTGACAATTCTGGTAAAGGAAGTATTTCCCAATATCCAGTCTAAACCTTCCCTGGCACAGGGAGGCTTGAGACCATTTCCTCTTGTCCTATTGCTTATTACCTGGGAGGAGAACCAGGACCCACCTTGCTAGCTTATTTAATTAATGGTTGAGTTCGAGAAATGAGCTTGAGATGGTGCTCTGTTACATAAGTCACTCTCTTTCCCTCTGTTGACTTGTCTGCTCTAATGTAATAAACTGCATGGGCATCTTGGACCAGGCTCTGGTGTACTTATCTCCTCCAGGTGTGGAGAAACAGCTGTTAGGCAGGTGAACAGTAAGCAGAGTGGGTTTGGCTGGGTCCTCTGAAAATTGATGTTTGTTGTGAACCACTGAGTATGAGTATTGCTATCAGTGATTCTAGACTGCACAAATAATTTCTAAAATGACAGTTATAGGTTATAAGGAACCTAGGTCACAATTACAGAGAGATTTGAGTTCCTAGTTGTCGTGGTTTAAGCCCAGCTGGTAAATCAGAACCATGCAGCTGCTCGCTCCCTCCCCCCAGCTTCTGGAGGGATGGGAAGGAGAATCGAAAGAATGTAATTCCCACTGGTTGAGATAAGAGCAGCCCAGTAACTAAGGTGTAACACAAATCACTGCTGCTACCACCAATAATGATAAGGCAAAAAACAAGGGAAGATAGTGGGGGGCATATATGAAAGTCAGGTGTCGTTTTGGTAGCCATATACTTACGTGTTTTAGATAAAGAGTGTAAGTATTCAAGGAAATTGTGTATGGAAAAGCCAGGGAATCTGTGCTAACATCAGTCTTGAGTGGTTCCTTACAAAGGAAACTGAATGTTGAGTGTGATGTGATAGACTTAACCATAAGGAACTAGGACTCATGATGAGCTTCAGACAGGAATCTGAGTACAGAACTGAACAGAATGAGTAGTAAGTTTTAAATGCTTGCTTACAAAGGAAACCTGATGTATCGTGCAAATGGCACTGGGAAGCATTATTACAGTCACTCAGATGAACTGTGCATGGAAAAATAAGTAGAGTTAAAAGCACGTTTTTAAATGTGAAAGGATGAAAGCTAACAAAACTTCTGTAACACAACAGAAAAACGAAGAAGAGAAAAACCTTTGTTTGCTTTAGGGAAGCTCTGAAAAAGTTAGCTGAATAAGGAACAATGAAGATACAAAAATGATTGAGAGATCAGCAGTACCTAGAGATGAGTTAGGGACCTGAGCATGAGATAGATTCAGGTTCTTTCCTGTCAGTAGAAGCAGTGCTTTGATTTCTGCATGGGAATGGGTCAAAGCAGAGACTGGAGTAAGAAGTCTGAAAATGAAGCACTGGCTTGGATAGCCATCAGTGGAGTCCTTGTTCCTAGCAAATGAGTGAGAAATCACGAGTCTGTAAAAGTGATCCATAAATGGTTCCAGTACTGATTCTGTGATTGAAATTTAAGTCTCATCTCTTTGAATCATCATATTTGGAGAATTTTGTAGGATTTATTTCCGTGGGCAGACTGGTACCTTAGGTACTGTCTTTCTGTGATTGAAAATGTCACTGCAACTTAAAGAGTTTGAAATATAAAAGCCAGAGAAGATGGAGATTCAGAAAACTTAATACTGTTATCTTCTACATAAAAAGAGCATGAGCACATTGGTCAGAAATATGACAAAGGAGAAAGGAACACCAGACAAGGACAGAGAGCAGAGATAGGGTGTAGATAATGTTTAAAGGAAATAAAGCTCAATACCAAGGAGGAAGGTAATCCCCTTATGAATATTTTTCTGAGATTGCCCCCTTCATTCCCCAGTTACAGCTGTCAATCCATAGCTTTGGAAATATTATGCACCTGTAAGGAACCATGGCAAAGCCTGGAAAGACAGATGTGGGATGTAAAGCGGAATCCAAAATGGATAGAGATTATAGTTGGAAAGGAACAGTGACTGGAAAACAAAGATAGAGGTTTGCATAAATCAGTGAGAAAAGATAGGGCTTTGCATTAATGATGAGCTGAATAGTAACAGTCACAAGGTGTAGCATGAATAGGCAGAGTTGGTTAGGATGAAAATAATACTGCAGAGCATGAGGAGAAGAAGGTTCTATTAAGTCAGCTTTAGGATTCGGGCCATAGTCCCCAAGAGTAGATTTGAATGATGGCTGCAGTTCCATAATAGCATTAAGATCTGGTAGTATTTGGAATGTGTCATCATGGAATACATTTAAGTCACAAACTAGGTTACGTGTTTTGTTTCAGAAATAATGTAACTACAGTTTCTAGTTATTGCTAGAAGTAGTAGTAAATATATTTAATCAGTCAGTGATCATGATGCCATTCAAGATGATTTTTTTTATATATGATATCATCAACGATGATATTTGTGGCATTTATTTTAATAAGTGAGCAGGTTGTAGAAGGGTGAAAATTTGGAACAAATCATTCTATCCAGGTAAAGCAGAAGGTTAAACAAATAGAAAAAGCAATGAAGGATTTATTCCAAGAGAAACATTTTTTAATTTTGGCAGCTGGTTAATTAATTAGTAGGGCCAATAGTATTAATCATTATTTATTACCGAAATTTTGAGTGTAGTAATAAAACTTACTGTTCATGCAGAAGTTGTGTGGGATCATTCATACAGAGGAAAAATATTGTACAGTGGATGTCCTCAACAGCTGATGTAACAGAAACAGAATTTAATAGGTTAGAAAGAAGACTTAAATGTCACCTGTTTGACGCAACAGGAGAAAGAGGGAATGGACAGATTAGAAGTAGGGGATTATGATCACAAATCTTGATACTCACGAAGGAGTCAAATGCAATTGTAGAAGTTATCTCAGGTTGTTTTCAAAAGACCTAAGTAAATATTTAAGAATATTTTTTTCTTTTATAAAACAAATGGGTAAAAAACTTTGCTTGCAGTATAGTCTGTGGCTATATTTGCCTGTATTCAAGAAAAATAAATTCAAACTAGAACAAGCACAGAGCTGGCTTAATTGGACTGATTGGATAAGGAGTCAGTTAATTTCATGAGGAGACCAAGATCTTGGTTTATTTAGTTTAGCACAGCTATGCTGTATCCGTTAAAGGAAAGAAAGGTTTTTAATATAGATAGTGATGTTAACAAAGATCAGATGAGCATAGACTTGCGAGAATAAATACTAAGTGGGAATTTGAAGGTTTCAGGCTACCATGGGAAGAGAGTATTCAGGTATGTTACATGTTCCTTCTGTTTCCTGTTAAAATTATATTGGTTAATGCTTAACTCACTTATTAAATTAAAAAAGTGAGATTAACTTTTTAATATATTACCACATTCTTTAATGTTTTTATCTCTGCTTGGAATAAATTACTTCAGAGAAAAGAAATAGTATGCTTTCTCCTGGAAGAAGATTTGCTGCCATCACAATTCCCTTAATGTTTCAGCAAGATCTGTTTCTCAGCGGTTAGCCAGTTTCTTTTGCCCATTTAGTGATTTGATATTTTCTAAAACTTTGACAGCAAATTTCTATTGGTGGCTCACTTCCCATGTTGGGCTTTTTTATAGGTGGTATGATTGATGTTAGTTATTAAATGCCCAGATTGTAGCAGCTTCTTTCTCTTTAGCACCAAAGTATCTACCTTGATACTTAGATTGAAAAATACAGGCATGAAAATAAGGCCAAGTGCCTGATCTGATTTTTTTTTTTTTTTTAACTGTTTGAGATTTGAAAAGACCTCTATCAGTAGTAGCAGAGTAATTTATTTAAAAGTATAGAAATGAGTGTTGCCATTTGTGGTCTTTTGTACTTACCTGTTCAAAAGTAAGAGGTGAGCAAAGTCATACACTCTTTGATGGCAAGTGGAGATTTGTTTGCATGATTCATTTTGCAGCTGGGTGGCATACCAAATATTATGAATTGTCTTCTAGTTACTCAGTTTCTGAAGTATGGAAATGTAGGAGATAAAATAATAGTTAAGTAGACTTTTTATTGTTGAGATACTTCATTCTTTGTCAAAGACTGTGAATTTTTGCATGCATTTTTGAGAGTCCTACCTTAGGTGGTTAACTTACTTACACCTTCAGCAGTAGAGCATTTCTACTGCAGGTTGTTCAGCCATTTCACTGCATTCATTGTTCTTTTTTGTGCTGGTGGTCTCATCAGGGTGGAGTACAGTGGGGGAATCACCTCCTTTGACCTGCTGGTCATGCTCCTTTTGCTGCAGCCCAGGATACAGTTGGCTTTCTGGACTGTGAACACACACTGCTGGCTCATGGCCAGTTTTTCACTCACAGGTATCCCCAAGTCCTCCTCCACAGGGCTGCTCTCAATCCCTTCATCCCTCAATCTATTGATACTGGCGATTGCTGGAACCCAGGTACAGTACTCTGGGCTTCTACCCTTACAGAATCTCTTGGGTTATAATAATGTAAGCAATCCACATTCTTCCTAAGTAACTAAAAATCTTTGATCTGTACTGACAAATCCACACAATTGTTGATTATTTGGTTTTAATTGTCTTAAATTTCACTTTAATCTCCTGTTTCTATAGGAAACATTTGTCGCTCTCCAATAGCTGAAGCAGTTTTTAGAAAACTTGTAACTGATGAAAAAGTTGAAAATAAGGTAAGCTATTTATTTCTGTTCCTGCGTGAGAAATAACTGTCTCCTAGCCAGTTTAGTAGAAATGCAAACAGTGAGAAAGGAAACATAAAAATATAAATCTGTTTCTCTGTAGTGGAGGATAGACAGTGCAGCAACATCTGCCTATGAAATAGGAAGCCCTCCTGACTATCGAGGACAGAGTTGCATGAAGAAGCATGGCATTACCATGAATCATATTGCCAGGCAGGTACTGTATTTTAATTTTCTTTAAATATATGTGTATATTTGTTTTGTTGTTACAGTGGATGACAGACAGCGCTGCTGTTTCAGACTGGAACGTGGGGCGCTCCCCAGATACAAGGGCTTTAAGCTGTCTAAGAAATCATGGCATTGAGACAGCACATAAGGCACGGCAGGTAGAAGAGAGTATATTTTCTTTCTTATTCATACCGATGCTTTGTTTAGTCCTAACCATTACAATCACAGAAGTCATTTGACCAATGCATGGTTAAGGACCAAGTAACAAATACTATGTTTAGTTTTTCAAAGGACTCTGAAGTGGCCTAACACTTAAAGTTGAGGTTAGTGAGTTTCCTCTTACTAAGCTTCAGTGGAAGTATAACTAGGAGCAATCGTGGGAAAATCCTGCCTTCAAGTATGTACTATTTTGGGAATTTTTATGAAACTATTTTTTTTAATACTTTTTAAAATGGACCTACTCTAGTAATCCATGATGCTGCTTGGAGACAGGAATTGTATTTTTATTCAGCAGGTCCAAAAAGAAGTAGAATACCTGTTCACCCATAACAAAAAGCTGCTGCACTTGCATGAAGACCATTTACAAAAACAAAAAAAAAATAAAAATAAGGGGAGCTAAGTTAGAATGAAGGCACTCAAACCCCAGATTAATAGCTTGGTTGGTGTTAAGAGGAGAATGGACTCTTGAAGCATTCTTAGCTCAAATGCAGTTTGTCTTCTGATGAAATCGTCTCAGTTTTCATGCACAAAAGAATGTGTATTTACATGCTGCATTCCAGAGAGACTGGAAATAAATGTGTTTGCATCTATTTAAATAATTCAGACACTCCAATAAATGCACATAACTTACTTTGCTTAACTATTCTCTGGATATAAGGTAGTCCTTTAGGGCTTGACCTTTAGTAAGCTTGAGTTTATGCCACTAGTTTTTGTATTGACAAAAAGATCAAGTAGTCTTGTAATTACCTTCCATTTCTGTTCCCTTCAGAATTTCCTAGACCTCAGTGAGGTCATATTTACTTTGTTCACTTTCAAAGACTACATGTTTAGGTTTTTAACTTTCAAAAATAAATTCCCCCAATTAGTCAATTGCCCTCTGCTGACCCCTCTTTATGCTGCTCTCCGTTATATAATAAGAAACAGGATCAGGCACAACATTGTTTCAGATGTTCAGTGTTTTACTATTGGAATAACTATAAGGGAAGTCTGTTCTGATCTTTTCCTTTTAGAAGTTCTGGATTTACTATTTATCAGTGCTTTATTTATTATTACATGATTGTGTAATGATAAATAATACATAGTATTATTTATCATTACACAAGCTAAATGGTACTGAAACTAATCAGTTGGTGTTTGTCAAAACAGTGTAATTTGTTCGCATTCTTAAAAGACAAACCTTGGAAACTTGAGAACTGTTCTTGGGTATTACTAGGGTAGTTTATAAGTAGTTAAATTAAAGCAAAGCACCCAAAACTAGTTGATCCTCTGCTTTGAAACATATTCATGTAATCTCCTTTGGCAGAGAGGGAATGAAAACACGGTAATGAAGACATTTGCTTAAACATTTTGGCAAATTAAGGGATTCTTAAAGGTAGAAGAGCCTAAAACGTTACATATAAAGGGATAGGAAATTAACAAGAATGAGACAATAGAATGAAAGACTAAGAGGATTAATTTTTTTCTAAAACATTCCAGTACAAGCAATTTATTTTATGAAGAAAATTTCACATCCCTGAACTAGAGGTAACTGTTAATTTTGCACTGATGTTAACTGTGTAACTCATATAATTGTTTTCAAACTTCTGTCAGATGGTCTCTGCTGATTCTCTAAACTGTGGACCTGATATGGTCTTGTAGTTCTTCTGGAAAGGGGGAAGACTCAACAGTGTAGAATAGGAGTTTTCAAAGTGGTCAGGTTAGTACAAATGGAAGTGTATTTGTTTCACCATTAGAGACAAACTCAAGGATAGAATTTTGTATGTGGCTTGTTTCAGAATAGATTAAGATTTAATACAGGAGCTGCAGGAGTAGAGAGGAGGGATTTATCTTCTGTTGCCTTTGAAATACTGTCATAAGATGAGTACCTCCTGCAATTATCCTCTTTACTCCTGTGGAAAACTGTTACCCATCCAGTGAAAGGCATTTTCTTTCATGTAATTTTGTGCATAATTATGATAATCATGGATTGTATCTTTAATTCAAAACTGGCATAAATGCTACAAGAACGATTTATGTAAGAGAAAATGTTAAATTGGTTACATCCTACCATCATTTACAGTGATCAAGTGAATTTTAAGTGAAAAGTGAAGTATAACAATAAATGTATGTATTCATATATAAAATAAAGGGTATTTTAACATTTTAGTTGATGGTAGGTCACTTTATGTTTATGCACTGGTTGAAATTCTCTGAACTATTATTCTTCATGCACAAAACAGGTAGGTATTAATTAGTTTCACTTTTGTTCATGCTGAGACCAAAATTGATTTCTATATGACTCATACTGTGCATTTGCCTTTAACACAACCTTCCTCTAATCTCCATTTGATATTTAACTCTGTTTCACAACTGGATAAATTTGAGGACTGCTGCCTCTTTTTGTTTTTTAGACAGAGGAAAGATTTCCCTCCTCTAAACAAAGGGAAATTTTTAAGAAATAAGTCAGAATGATGATGTGTTTCTCCATTGATGGTCTTTAATAATGGTTATATGTTTGTTTTTTTTTTTTAATGTAAAGTTATTGTGTGTGTGGTTCCATCCAAACTTGACTACTTGAACTCTCCACTACTCTCTTCAAAATGTACATAAATTTTTATGTCCTCAGTTTCTTCCCCCAGAGTACTAGTTTTCATAGTTTTGAGGAGTATCTTCAGTTCACTGGAGTTTGCTCAGTTAAGCTTTTTGTATCTGACATTACCGTGAGGCTTATGAGTACAAGTGAGCCAGTAATCTTGGTTTTAGCACTGTGCTAATGCTGGTTCCCAGGGAAGTAACTGTCAAGTTGTCAAGTACACAGGGAGTGTGGGAAGTGTGGCAGGTATACTTTTCCCTTTCACTGGTTTTTATTTTATTCCTATGTATGTCTGCACTACGCATTTTTTCATAGGGGCTAGTGTTTAGCCCTGTAGAGTGATCAGAAGCAGCTTGTAGAGGTATTGCTTAGAGTTGCCAGGAAAACAGAGCTATTTCCACTGCAAAAATATTTTCATAGGTCAAAGGCAGTGCATGAATACAGCAAATATTTTTACAGTGAAAATAAACAAGTCTGCATTAGTTTCCACCATTAACCCTTTCTTTTCAAATGTTCCATCCCCCACACCTCACTTGTTCAATTCTCCTTGTGTGGAATATTTCATTTAATGGCTTTAGTCTGGTGGTGATTTCTGTGTGTCTTTTCTTACTGCTATTATGGGGGCTTGATCAGTATCTATCTGCTGTTTGCACAAAAAACAAGTGGGTGTTTTGCCATCTAAAACTTTTCTTAAAATATGTAAATGACTTTTACAAGTTAAAACTCTGACTTAAAGAATAAATTGTTTTGCCCTTTTGTCTGTTCACTTGTCTGCACATCCTTCCCAGAGGTGCCTGCCAGAAAAACCTGTACTGAACAAACTTCCACAGACTGTTCATGAAATGCAATCTTAATGTGAACTCATTACAGATTTTATTCCATTTATGCATCCTCATTATGGACACTTTGTTCAGATATCTTATACTAGCATACTGTGCATTGTAGACATGGTCTGAGAAGGTCTATGCTAAGGCTTTAGTGTAAAATAAAATATAATTACACTGGTAAAAATTTGCAGCCATCCTTATTCAATACAGATAACATTAGTACTGAAGTTAGTGGTTTATCGGCAATGTTTGCCTACCTGACTCTGAACTTGGATCTTGAATTTAGAATTTAGTTAATATTCATGTTCAGGAGTCAGTAGTCCTACTACAGGAAAGAGAAAGAACATGGTATGGTGGTAGGAAGATGTACAATAGATCCCAGGGTTTTTTACATCATACTATAAATTTTGTGAACTTTATATGGCCTAAAATACTGTGAATACATTTGTTTTTAAGGGATTGTAACTCATACCATCTTACTTTAGCTTTGAATTTCATTTGGTATCTTTTTCTGTGTGTGTAATGACAAATTTCTAGATCAGAATTACTGCAGCTGATTCCAGGTCACCTACATTTTTGTTTTCCTATCAAGAAAGTAATTTGTCTACATTTTCACTGCATGGTTTCCGTAACTGGAAGCCTACTTTAGCTTTAGTAATTGGAAAGCATTAGAAATGTCAGTTGTATTGGTGAAATAGTCAACTCGGGTTTTTTGTGGAAAACTTGCAGAAGTGGGTAATTACAGCAGAGTACACTTAAAAGCTCTTAAGTTATTGTAAAAGTTAATGAAGGTACACAGTTTTATTCTTTCCATCTGTTTTTGTTTTAATAAATCAGAACTACAAAATTTGAAAGTACTTTCTTTCCCCTTTTTATAAATCACACACAGTTTATAGGCTAAAGCACGTATTTTAATTCTAGGTTACTAAAGATGATTTCCAGACCTTTGATTATATACTCTGTATGGATGAGAGCAATCTAAGGTAATGTATGAAGAAATGAAACTAATTCATGTGGATTACTCCTAGTGATGCCTTGTAAGTCACTTTGAAGGCAGATGGCACATTTTACTGTTTAGCTTGTCTTGTGGGTGTTTTGGAGGGGGGGGGGTATGGTTTGTTTCCTTGTTTGGTTTAGGGTTTTTGTATGTTTGTGTGGATGATATCGTAATAGATAGATTCTTCACTTCTAATAAGTGCAGTGACCTAGAACTCAGTTTGTGTGATCCATGCCAAGTAAGGATATGAAAATTTAGCACGCTTTGTGCTATACATATGCAGCTGATGCCTGTACAGTTAAGAATGAGGACATACTGTCTTGATCAGTGATCTGGCTTTCTAGTTGCATGAGATTTAAAAGACACTGTGGAAATCTGGAAAGGATTAAATATGTTGTGGGTTTTTTTATTTTTTATTTTTTAATAGAATAAGCTGTGAGATAAGTAAGGTTGTTAGCTGCGGAAATCTTGTTTGTTGCTGTTAGTTATGTTCTAATTGTGTCTTTGAGACAATTCTTTAGAAAGATTCGGTGAAGTAGTTGCCTAGTGTGAGAATTTGGATATCATTATTTTTATGTACATATCGGTTATTGGGATTAAGGAGCTGAGCTTTAATAAAGTACAAATATGAAAGTGCTTGTAAGGACTGTTACTTGTAAAATTAGTTTAAAAAAACCCAAGGCCCAAATAAAACCCTGTTAGTAGCACATAGACTTTCAGAAGCAGCACTACTTAATTAAGTATTATTTTGTTGAATCTTCTAGATGTGTGGAATGACCTCTCTTTTACACGGCCTGTATGATTGAAACACTGCTTGATTGCAGTGTGTTGGGCAAAGACATGACTAGTCTTACTTCTATTTTCACTTGAATTCTTGAATGAAACTTATTCTATATTAACAATTTATATGATACGAGCTGTAGAGCAGAAGAAATGTCGTAACTGTAATAGGGATATTGCTACTGCTACACTTAAGTTTCACCTTAAACTTATACCCACTTCAGCCATTTTCCCTGGGAAATATGCCTTTTTGTAGCACTCAGAGTCTGATTCCAGGTGTTGATGGAGTGACAGAAAAGAAAAATTTGGAATATCCCTTTTCCTTAGTACCATAGCTACTTGCCCCTCTCCTGTTCATTAAGTAGTATGCCAAAAGCCTTGAAGAAAAGGGTTAGACATTATTTTAATAATAAAAAACTAGAGAATTTAATGAGAATCTGTAAATTAAAGCAGTAACTTCATAGAGGAGTTCTGATTTTTCAAGGAAAAGTAGTATTTTGGTCTCACTGCTATTCTAGACTTTCTAAAATTATTTTCTTACTCAGAATTAATAATTAGAATTTAATTTCTTAAAACTGATTATGCTTATGACTGAGTATTCTCAGGGATTTTCACCTTTTTAATGTTGGGTAAGTAAAATGAGCTGCTATGGAGATGTGTAATCTTAAAAGAATTTAAAAGAAATGGCTGTTTAGCATTGTGAAAATCATAGTATTGAGCTGCATTTAACCTGAAGATGATGAGAGGTACATTATAAATACATTTGGGTTAATAGACGCTTTTTGTAAGTAGGTGGGGAAAATACCATCTCAAAACAAGTATCTTTTATCAATGAGAGGCAATGTAAAAGAAGCAGGATGTGACAACTGATGGAATGTTACAGTATCTCAGAGGGAAGATCAGTCTAGGTCACCAGTTTACCATTTTCTGATAACCAAATGCAATAGGACCTGACAGGAGTGACAGAGGTAGTATTGAGAGCAATACTTGCAGCATGCCAATTTAAAACACTGGTTTTGAACAAATGGGAGAAGCTTACTCGTACTTCTGGAAAAATATCTGGACAATTTCCTTTTTTTTTTGTTTTTGTTCAGTAGAAGCTAAAGGTGGATATTGAAAGTACTAATAATTGATCTGAGGAAGAAGGTGATAAATGTACTGTTACAAAGTTCTGTTAAGCCTTAAGTGACTGACTGCTTGTTTATGCTTTGAATTAAGTTAATGTACATGTTTTCCATACTCAATTAAAAGAAAAAATCCCCAAACCCCACAACAAGAAACAAATGAAAACAAACAGCAGAGTAGAAAGTCCACAGAACTGACAGAGTCCAGACGCATATTGTTTTCCTGTGTTCTCTAGAAATGGTCATTGAGCATCTCATGATGATGCCAAGAAAGTTCTGAAGAAAAATTCACAGAAAAATATTATTTTCTTTTTTACAGAGATCTGAAAAGGAAAAGCAACCAAGTTAAAGACTGCAAGGCCAAAATTGAGCTGCTTGGAACTTACGATCCACAGAAACAACTTATCATTGAAGATCCATACTATGTATGTATAAAAGAATTCTTCTGGTGGCTTGATTAAAAATTATGTGTATATGGCATATGATCTTTTGAGATCCCACATATTGACATGTGATATATGATCTGATACCACACAAAACCAAGTGTAGATGTATTTTTTAAATGACTTAACAAAACAATATGAATTATTGGGATAGGAAAGGAGAGCATGTCTATGCTTATAACAGTTGCTTAAATTTAAATAAGGCAGTGCATCTGTGTTTTCAATAATGGATGACGCTCTAGTTGGTCAGCTTCCTTGCAAAGAGGACCTAATCAAGACAAAGACATGGACAGAGGTGGTCAAAGAAGTCGAAAAACATCAACTAAGAGCAACCAATTAGATTAAAATTCTTCAGTTTAGAAAAGTGAAGTAGATGAAGGTGTAGGAGTGTTCTGTAAAATCTTGATGTCATGGGAAAAGGTAAGGATTTGCTATTCATTACCCAAGAAGAACAGAATATCAAATGGCACATGTGGGAAGTGGGTTCAAAACAGAAAGAGGGTGGGGGTTTGTGGGGGTTTTTTTGGTTGTTTTTTTTGTTTTTTGGTGGTTTTTTTTCACCAAGCATTTCATCAAAGTCTGAATCTCAAAGTGACAGGTTACTGTGAAAGGAAAAAAAGAAAAGGCTTATAAGGGCTCAGAAACTGAATGGAAGAATTCATCTGAGAAAGTTTATCCAGGACAGCTGAGTACAAAGTTACAGTGTTTGGCTGTGGAAACTCCTGAGCTGCAGGTAGTTCAAATTAGGGAGAAATATGCATAAACTATCACTATGTATTTATACTGTCTTATTCTCCCCTAATGTCAGTTATTTACTATTGCTGACCATGGAGAAACCAGTTTGCAAAAACTTTTTGTTTGAGCCACTACTGCTGTTCTTACGGGTTTTCTTTTCCTCTGTTCTTTTCTAGGGGAGTGAAAAGGACTTTGAAACTGTTTACGAGCAGTGTGTTAGATGCTGTAAAGTGTTTTTGGAGAAGTCTCATTAACGCGTCGTCATTTTATTTCTGAAAGAAAATAATTAGCTTCTCCTGAAATATGTAAGGTTTACTTGATTGATGTATTTAAATTGTAAAGTTATGCCTCGCTGGGTTCAAAACTGTTTCAGTATCATTTTATATTTTAGGTTTTCTGTCATTAATTAAAAAGCATAGAAAAGTTTTAATTGGACTAGATGATCAACCGTTTTATCACACATCAATGTTGTAGTAAAGTATGTAATTCAGAATAAATTTATCTCTAAACTGTTCCAGTGCTTTCTCACAAGCACTGCAAAAGTAACATCTTGCTTCTTTATCTGCTATACTAACTAAAATGAGGTCTTCTTATTGTGCCATTAGTGAGTTAATACAACTGACTTTCAGTGGGAGTCTGTGAGATAATAGTTCATGTATGATAATGTAGGCATGTCATCCTAGTGTTGTTAGATGGCCTTTGGACTGATGCTGTTCCATATTGAGCCTAGTAGACTAAAAGAACTGCCTGCTCCCCAACAGATGCTGCTCTTAGCACTATTTCAAAGCTTAAGCGACCAAAACCCCTGTGTGTCAACAGGATCCTGTGAAAATGTTTTTTTTTTGTGTCAGTTTAAGTGCTCAGTTATTTAAAGAAAAAGTAATATTTGTTCTAGTACATTTTCTACTAATTAAGAAGAACACAGTTCAGAAATAGTGATTGATGTTAATAGGACTTTTCCAGCTAGTCTTCCTTTGGTCGTTTGGTCAATTCCTAATGCACTGATACAAGCACGTGTAATATCGTATTTAAGGACAGAACAAGTCAGTGTAAAAGGCTAAATGTGAAACATACAGTTTGTATCTCACAGTAGTAAAATACTCAAATCCATGCAATACATTCACTGAGTTTTGCTGTAATCCTAGTTCCTATGTGGGTGTCAGACAGTATTTTCAGATTTACTCAGGAGAATTGATAGTCTGTCAGAAGTGTTCTCTGAGAGCATAGCTCAGCCCAAAGACAGTCCATCTGTAATGTAATGCAAAGTTAACAGAAGGCCAGTAAGTAGAAAGTTCCGCTTTTGGACAAAAATTGAATGCTTTGTTAAAATCCATATTTTTTGTCTGAATAGAAACACAATTTTCTGCCTAGAAACACAAGTGTACTGCAATCAGTAAGATCAGTAATGTAACTGATACCAGAATTGTCCTATTTTCAGTAATGACATTGGTATGAACTCACATTACCACATTGTAAAACTGGATCTATAAAACTTGCTTTCTTATGGAGCTGTGTTTTTCCCTCTGTTTTTCCTTCCTAGCTACTAGAGTAGCCTCTGTATTTGTCACTGACTTTCTCCTCTGAGAGAGGGGTTTGTTTTGGTAGAGGTCCCTGTTTTTCCTGAGGAGGATGGAATCCCGTTGTCACTCTGCCTGTGCAGCAGCCTGCACAATGGGGATGATGCATCCTGGGACTCTTGCTGTAGAACAGCTGTTTGTGTTAGTGAGGTTTCTGTTTTGTGCTAAAATTTCCATCAGACATAAAACTTAAGAACCTGCTTACAGAAAGGCAAGGGGTAGGTGGAACACCTTAATACAGAAATCTGGATCTTTGTGCTTTTTTGCATTACTCGTATCTTTGACTTTAAAATAACAAGCTGGGCATTTGCAAGTTAATAGATGTTTCACTTCAGGACAAAGAGTGATATATATAATATTTCAGGTGAGATCAAGCACCAACTCTGGAATAAATTATTTTCCATTTCTTTTATGGGTGTTTTGACAAAGTAAATGAGGGAGAACCATGAGCAGCTGGTACAAACCATCTTAAATCTGGTTTTATGCACTGACTTCAGAAGTGGAAGTATTTAGGTGTAATCTGATGTTATTCTCTGACCACTTAAAATACTCCAGTGAAAATAAAATAATTCAGAAGATTGAGAACATGATGGTTTGTGCTTTGCCATTCATGGCTGAGTAGGACCATGATGGAATTGACCCTATAGTTTCCTTCATATTAAACTTAAGATTTAAAAGTCTTAAATCTTTGAGCTGCTGGGGTAACAGAAGGGAAAGAAAAAGGTACAGTTGTTTAACTTCACTAGGCTAAGGAATCTCCTGCAAAGTAACATGAAGTCAAAACTGTTTGTGTTAAATTCAGTTAAGATTTTTAAAGTTTCAGCCTTAAGGTATATTTTCAGCAAGTAATCTATTGGCTAAGTCATTCACCAGCTCTACTAGGAGGAAGAAGCTGATGGATTGATTTTACCCTTAGTGGGTTCCTTTTGGAGAAGGGGAAGGAGAGCACCATGGTATTTTATCTCACTTGTAGAACTCAAGAATACAGAGCAGGGATAACCTTCAGGAGGGACAGTTGTGCAGTACCGTTATTTGGGTTCCAAGAGAAGAAGTGGACATTGGATGAATACACAAGTTATCATCCAGATGTCTAAGCTCTTACAGGTTTAAAATACCCCTCATGAAAAAATGTAATGTTGAATGAAAAACTACAGAGCGGACTCCTCCTTCCCTCTCTTCTCCCCCACGGCTTGTTTTACGTCAGGTAGTAAGGTTATATCCAAGACTGAATACAAAAAATTATGCTATAGTATAGTTATATCTTCTCTCAAAGCACACAGACCTCTGTTAAATCCATTTAAGACTTCCATGGGATTGATTTATTTATATTCATCTATTAAATCATTAAATAATTTTTTTCCTTTTGCAAGATTTTCTAGAAGATTTTTATTGAACTGGATTTCAGGTGTTTTACAACAGAAAGAAAGTTTTGTACTAATTTATAACTCATGTTCTGTCATATGCTGTGATCTGATCTCAGCCCATGGAACCACGGAGAAGCAAAGTTCCATTCGCCCATATGTTTACTGTGGGTGAGCAGCCAAATGAATCCTGTAGTAGTAGATTCCTTTAACTACCAGTTTTTCAGTATCCATGTGTTACTCCTATTGAGCAATGAAACTTCAGCATTTAGTGATCACTGAAACCAAGTAACAAATATGTACCTCTCCTTTACTAAATACAGCCAAGTTCCAGGCTGGCATTTTGTACTTCTGCCTTTTCTTTCTTCTGAAGAGCTAGATGCTAAAGCCTCTGAAGTGTGCATTTCCAATATCCCATCTTCTAGCTGTTTCTCAGGGTGGAGAGGGGCGTGTTTGGTTCTGTTTTTACATTTTGTGGTTTGAATTGAGGGTAAAATGGAAGCTAAATGACAGTATTAAGAGTACCTGAGGTTTATCTACAGTTCACAGATAAATTTTTTCTTCCTGTTTAAACTATTTTATTATGACAACTGGATTTAATACCTGATTTAAGGAATAAAGGGAAATGTGTATTAAGGTTTCTTGAGTTCACTGATTCCTTAAAAATGTTATGACACTGAAATGGTTTATTGGACGTTTACTGATTTTTATTGCCTGGCAATAGCATAAATAGACTGCAGATATTTTTTTTTTTTTTTAACATGCAAACAAAACCCCAAAACAATCATTGGTCATAAAAAAGATTATGAAGCTGTAGAGAATTGAAGCAGCCTTGTGGTCTGGACTTGAACACAGAGATTGGTCCATCCTCACAAATCCATACCGAGTGTTCACATGACCTTGGGTAATATGGTTTAGAGCGAGGTGTCCCTGCCCATGGCAGGGGGGTTGGAACTTGATGATCTTAAAGTCCTTTCCAACCCTAACTATTGTATGATTCTATGACCAGACTCCTCTGAGGTGGGTACACCTTTCTTTCTCATTCTAGGGAAACTCTTATCTACACTCGGATCTCTTACAGAAAGAGGTTTGAGTGTGGATAAATGATAGCAGCTACCAGAAGATAGCTTGTTTATCTGGATTCAGTGAACAGAAAGCAAACTGAGAACATCTTAATACCAAACACTTTATTACTTACGCTTATTATTTACAGTATTTACATATTGCACGTTTGCTGGAATGTTTTATACATTTATTATATAAAGTAAATTAATGGCAGCTTGTGTTTGTGTACAAAATCCATGCTCCACTGTCCCAAAAAATACGTCTGCTTGGAATCACGTTCCTGCTTGTCATGCAATTTGTACTCCTAGGGTACAATGTGACCCCAATGCAAGTCTGTTTTAACCAAACTTTTAAAAAATTGCATAAGCATGAAGGATATCAAGTGACCACAACTACTGTGGAGCAGATCTTTAGTAGTTCTAGATATACAAACAAACATTCCTTGAAATTGTAGAATTAAGCAATAGAACATCAATTTTCTTGGTGAAATATTTGTGTTCACATAATTTTTGGCAGCATTACACATCAGTTGTAAAGTGTGTTCTGTAAAGAATGGAGCATTAAGTACTACTGGCAGTTACGCTACTGTAAAGAATGTCACTGCAAACTGTTGATGACATACAAAACGCATGTTAAAAGAATTATGGGAAGTAGTCTGTCAGTCTGCAAAAATAAATCTCTTGTTCACAATGGAATATATTATAAAGGTAGTAAGTTCTGTTTCCCTGTTGGTTTCCAAGGCACTTCTCTTGGTTCTTGGTATTTCTTTTCATGGTAACAACATCTGGTGGATTAAAAGAAAGAAGAAAATTGCCTTTCATCATTTTTATACTTGCATGCATGTGTTTTAAGAATGTATTCATCATACTGAATCAGTAGAACTGGAGAATTCAGTAGTAACTTTGGAAAGATCCAGTAGTGCAGTTCTGATTTAGCTTAATTTAGTTCATAGCAGCCTGAGTGCTAAATTACTGTTTTGTTTGTTAAGGCTGAAATTTTGGAAAGGGTCCCTTTTTGCACTGGTTCATTTTAGGTAAATAGATTTGGAAAATACAGTTCTACCTATTGAAAATGTGCTATGGTTATGTTTAGCCTTTTCTAAAAGTGCAGCTGTGAAGTCAAAAAGCCTCAATGATAGTATTAACAGATTGCAAATTTCTATCTTAATGTCTTGGTGTCTTGAAGCTGATGGTAATATAAATTTGTCAAGGTAGGGCTGGAAGGACCTAGAAATGATTTCATGTTTAATTGGGCCCATTAGTGAAGAAACCTGGACTCATGCAGACAAGAAACAAACAGAACTTTCTACAATTTGATCATCTGAATGCGCCCCTGGGATGTGCAAACAGTAAGGCAGCACAAACTGAGTAGGAGTTGCAGGATTTGCTGCCCGTTCTGTTAACTCTTTACCCAGAATAGTTTCTTGGAATGAAACCAAAACCATTTTTGTGACAGTGATACCAAAATCACTGACAGAAAATTACAGGTTTCAACCCTTTTCTCCCACATCTTTAAGCCTTTTGACAAAATGTAGCGTAACTGTCTCTGCTTATACCTATCTAGAAATCCATCCTCCCTCTAGTAATTTCTGAGTTTGTTTGACCACATCTTCGAGACTTGCAGCAAGTATACACAGTGTCATGTGGTCTTAAGACAACCTGTTAATGCCATTATTTCAAAGTAAAAAATTCACTATGTCTTACTGGTCAACAGGACCTGCATGGGTTCCATGCTTTTGCATGCCAAGAGATTTCAGCTGAAGCTTGTGTTTCATGGACCGCAAAAGTCCACGCAGGAGATAAAACGGAGGTGTTCTCTAATGTTAGAGTTCTGCTGATGTCACTTTTCACAGAAAAAGCTTTCATATTGTCTATCTGACTATATGTAGCCATCTCTTCCAGGATCAGTGGGAATTCTCTGATTTGGATTTCTCTGCATTTTCTACTACTGAAGTATAATTTGTAACAGAATCATTTGAATGCAGAGTCAGTTGGACTTGACATAATCCATCCATTGGTGCATACAGAATAGTATTTAAACATATTTAGTTTTGCCATTTTTAAAAGCTATTAAGAAATGTAATAATATTACTGAAAAGCTTAATGTAGTTTAGGGTTTTTTTTCTGGCTTTGCAGATAGGACAAATACTTTTTTTTTAATATCCTTCCTTAGAGGGGAAAATGATGTAAATTTTCCTTGTCTTGCATTTTCATCTAGCTTATTTTCTGCTCATTTCATCTTTTTTTTCATCTTGCATTTTTCATCTAGCTTACTTTCTGCTCCTACTGTACCCTGGTTAAGGTGTGATGCTTAAAGGTGATATTTAAACATGCTTTTATTTGATCAGTGTGTGGTACAACTGGAAAACACTGAGAATTTAATAGGTTTTTTTCATTACTAATACTAATGGGAACTTTCAGCTCACTGAGAGTGAAAAATTGGAAGTAGATAGGATGCTCATTTGTCATCTCATCCATACCTGCCTTTGTATGGATCAAAAGTTGTGGGTCTTAGATTCTCAGCTAAATTGCAGTTTTGTAAATCCCTGGCACTTCAGAAACCCTTGAAAAGGCCCCGGATTTGTTAGCATCGATCAATCTGTTGTACTTTTTTCACATAGTGATATTATATATGTCAGTCTAGGAAAATTAGACTGGAATTTAGCTGAAGAATGACAGGTAGTCTTAGTGAAGATCCTGAGTGCTGACTAAAGTCTCTGTTGGGAGCCTCTATCATCAGCTCATGATGACAGAATTAAACTCTGTAAGATAAAGCTGATCTATAGTAGAGAAGAATTTACTGGTTTAAATATTAATATAAGCTTTAAAATACTGTACCAGCAGGATTTTATAGCTCAGCTTCCATGTGCTCTGAAAAAAGTTCCTTCCCTGGGTGAACATCCATTGGAAGTCTGCTCTAATGTCAACAGATCGCAGAGATCCATGCATTGAAGCTGATAAAGCTCACAATTTTACATCTGGTGCTAGCCACAGAGAGACCCCATAGTAAGGAAAATGCAGAATTGCCACTTAAATTAAAAGTTGTACTGTACCACACTAGTAACCATGTACACTGTCTGCCTCTTTAGTTCAAAGCAGTAGTTCTCATAAAAGGCTTAAATTTGTTACTGTAGGCACTGCTTCCTGTCACCAAGCAGAAGTGACAGAACATGTCATGGGACGTAATATGTGATGGATCTAGAAAAGGGTCTGCCTTCACTGAATAGTATGCAAACCCTACATCTTAATTCTACCTTCGCTTCTTTTGTGAAATGAAAGCATCTGACATTTCTTGAGGGCACTTGATACTAGTTTGAATTAGAAGCTGTATAAGAGAGAAAGCAATTAAGGGCTGTTGGTTCCATTGTTACAAAACACCTGAAGCAAAACATGAGAGCCGAAATATTATTTTGGTTTAAGAATAGTTTGAATTAATGGCTATATTAAGTGGTGTACAGGAATGGGATATTTATTGTGGTAGTTCAGTTTTACCTGTAGGCATTTAAAGTTTCTAAGTTTATCTTGTATTTTCAGCTTTTTTAGCATACATTACTAGTATGGTCAATACATCCTGAGGGGTTTACAAAGATTGAGTTCCAAAGACAATTTCAGTTATCAGAGTGTTTTCACTGTTACTGAGTCCCTGCATTGCTTACAGCTGTGGTACAGGCAAAATGTGAACATGTACTCTTAAAGAGAAGAGGGAGCCCAGTTACATATGTGTAGGATAAATGAGGAAAAGTGAAGGCTCCGTAATGCACATTGTATCACACATACCTTTAGGTATGTACTGTGACAGTAACAGATACCTAATTCCTGTTTTCACTTCTTCCTATTTGATCTTAACAGTTAGCTTCAATGTCTTCAGTGCTTTAAAGCTATGATAGTCCAAAATACAATTAAAGTACAAATAAAAATCAAATCCATCCTTTCTTTAGCTTTTCGTCCCCCCAAACCAATGGACAGATTTCTGTATCTGAAAAATGTGTCATCTTTGCTTAAGTATCAGAGAGCAATAATTCATCTGTAGCCCAGCCCACGTGTAAGCATCCAATGAAATGAAAATCACATACTAAGCAAAACAGGAAATCTAATTTAGACCTTTGTGGAGCAGTATCACATAAGAAATCTTTTGTTAACTAATATTCAAGCATTAATCTGAGCTTTAGAACTGATACTAAGTAGTAGCCTTATAGCAGAAACCAGAAGTGTTTACTTATTGCCTTACTACAAATAAACTTCATATACCAGAAAGCCATCTTAAGTATGAAGTGACTTTGAAATCTCTTCTTGCTACATACAAGTGGTACAATGTTCAAAACATTGCAACTTCTTGAAAATATTTTGGACTAATGATAACTACATGCTTCATGGTGAGAAAGGCAAATGGAAAAATGCTGAAGAACCCATTTTTCTACAATTCAGTCCATGACATGAGAAAAACAAATAAGGCCTGCATTATATGTCTGCATGAGAGGAGATGTCTTACGCACATAAATCGAACTGATGCAGTGGAGAAGATGTGAGGAGGAATGGGGCTTAATTTTATGAAGACACCTGCAGTTCTCAAGACG